ACTCAAGGCAGGTGAGTGACGGATGACTATTTACATTTTGGACAGGAACATGGACTTCAGCAGCGCTGGGCTCGAAGAAACGAAACGTTTCACAGTTCGGACGCCAGGGCGAAAACCACGGAGAGTAGGTATCAGGACATCGGCGCGTTGAGATGCTGTCCGCGGATTCTCTCCCTTTTTCGCTCTGCAGTGGTCTGATCCTGTCGGCCGATATTATTATAGTCTTCGTCGCTCGCTCTGAGCTTTGGTCATCGTCGTCGCCGGCACAACAGTCGTCTTCAGCGCCTGCGCAGTACCGTCGAGCGCACTACATCGCGCACTAGCCGCTCGTCACCAACTGTCGTCATCGCTCTCGCAGCCGTCGTGGCCTGGCTTCGCCCGCTGCCATGGTCGTCTTCGCGTCCAGAGCAAACGCGTCCGCGACTCTCGTCCGCCCCGCAGGACAGCCGCGAGAACTGTGTAGAGGTGACCAGTGGCCATCATTATCTGCATCACCACCCACTCGCCATCACGTACATCCCCCGCACATCGCCTCGTCTTGTCCGATGCCTTTTTTTTCTTTAAAATTGTTATATATTTTTTTTTTACAACTTAAGTTGTATTGTATCTCATTTTTACAGCATAATTATTATCAAAATTGTTTAAAACATTTTCATCAAATTATATGGTGTAATAAAATTATTCTGTTAACACATTAAAATGTTGTTTATTGTTTTTAGTATTAAAGAGTACGATTTTATTTATATCAACATAATAATGGCCCACTGAACATGATCATGTTCACATGCATGGAGTGTGGTGCCCACTGGGGCACCATATAGAACATTAACAAACAATTTTTTTGTTATGTACAAAATCTCAATAAAATAGTATATTGAAGCCTGAAAGTTTTGGCCACTTGAATGTACATCAATATGTTTAACGGTGTGGCGGTGTGGTGACATTTTTTCTGTGTAAAGACATAACACTTAAAATATTTTGAATCTTTTGAGTTTTTTATAGCCGATTAAAATTAAAATTTCTATTTTATAAATATCGACAAAAAATTGTTTTTTAGGGTCAAAAAGCTTGTCGATTTAATACAAGGTCCCTCGTAATGAATCTGTCTTGTTAGAATATGAGATGTGTATTATAAATTATTTATTTTTCAAATGTACAACAGCCAATAGGTATTTAATATATTATTATAGTTCGAATAGTTTCAACTTTCAAGTATTTTTTTAATAACGATAACACGGAACTCTGTATAGGCTATTTAGCTACGTTACTGTTGCAAGTGTATTTTTGTATAATTTGGCAATAATTCATAATATTAATATATTGCTTTCAGTTTAATCGTTGTATACGTCTTGTGACTTTCCACCCCATTTTAGTTATCAGAGATTGATCCACCATAACTGTCTTGGGCTGCCACTGTATATATTTATATATTAATATAATAATAATTTATTATTATATTGATTATGTCGAGTTGACGAGTTGCTGGAATAACGGACACATCCATTGTGATGGGTATTCTTAATGTTTTTTTTTCGTATTTTATTGGTATTATAATATTATGTTCTTAATGCCTTACCTACGTTTTAATGTTTGTTTTAAAATCCAAACGGTAGTGTTTAATTAACCACGTTGTCTGATTTCAGTATACCTATTTACCTACGTTATAGCCCCCTATAAAGTAGAAGTTTAACGTATAGGGCACACGCCCGAACAACACATAATTGCTTGCAAACATTATTTGCTATCCTTTGCTTATGTAAGTTTCTATACCAGATGTTCGTGAGCGAATTACTAATAAATTATTGTGTACCCTTAGAAACCGTGGATATTATTCACATTATGCATAATTAAATTGATAAATGTTTCATGCACGGGAACTGCGAGAAACGAGGCAAGACTGACGAGTGACGACTATAATAATATAATATCTGTAGAGCCATTACCCGCGGCAGACTCGAACAATAATTACAAAATTTGAAATGTAATATACTGTACAGGTACCGGTAATAAAAGTCAACTATGGGAAACTTCTTACATAATTAATCAGCTTTTAAAAAATAAAAAAAGGTTGGCAAGTGGGTGTCGCTCTGCTGTACAGTAGGTTACAAGTGGGTCACTGTATAATGGATGGTAGGTATTACATTTGAATTCAATGTTATTATATCATTGTATAAGAAAAACGATTCTGAGCGGAGACGGTATGTCTGTCTAGGTTTACGACATATTGTATACATATCTATGGAATTAAAAAAAAATTGACATATAATAGGTAGTGTAACGTGCCAACTACTTCAACTCAATATTGATGGTATTTTGAATTAAAATAACAAGTTGATGGTATAATGATAGTTTATTTGTATTTATTTAACACGAAAAATATTCTAAGTCCAATAATTAAATTATAAAATTGTGGTAAACGGGTTGTGACTTAGTATTGACTTTGTGGCTGTTCTGCTAGTGCTCGTCGTCTTGGCTGGTGTTGGTCTGATGGACACTTGTCCATCGACGTATTTCGTCGGTTTTCCTATTAGATCCCTCCTATGGCATTTTTAGTATAAAAAATGGTACATAGCTGCGTACACCTGACGTCATTTCGGCGTCCTCTACGAAATAATGTTAATTGGGATTATATGTTTTCAAAGTTATCTATTTTTGTTATTTACGGCTTTTTCGTATTTCCTAGAATATGGATAATGCGCGCGTTCTATACTCTTATCGATGTGGCCGCCCGGACGTTTATATTATTACTATTATTGGGTTACGTGCCCTCTGCAGCATTTATATTTGTTATTGAATATAATATATTATATTATAAGCGCATTATACTCAATACAGCATAATATAATATAATATTTTATATATTATTACTATTATAATATGTACGTAGTCACAGCCCGTTACAGTAGGTACCTATGATAAATTCCAAATTAATCATATCACAATATCCATTAGGTACTTATAACGCGTTATACATCAACAACAAACCCTGATACTATCATAGATATATAATAGTGTACTTTAGAAATTTCAAGTACCCATGAATAATATTATACAATCATAACAAAATAACTAAAATAGTTATTCTAGGTTTTTTAATTTGTAATTTCGTCCAAATTTGAACTTAAAATGACTATAAAAATAAACTGTGTTTGTATATTTTTTAGATTTTTTGGTTACAGAATGTCAGAATGAACTATGTATGAGAACCTTTGTTTTAAATTTGCAATCCTATTAGCTATAAAAACTGAACATTTTATAATTTATTAATTACAATTATTGATAATTTTCGAGATTTTGATAAATTTTAGTGTTTACGGTCATTTGTTTTAAAGTTACACCAAAAACCAAATTCAATTTTGTGAAAAATCGATTTTGCGTAAAAATTCCCGTTTTTCCTTAATTTTTCTTTTGTTAATCTTGTCGCTTGTGAAAACTATTGGGAATTTTAAATTTTGACCTCCCAAAAGTACCAACTAGATTCACTTTCCCATCGAACAAGTTACTGAAGTTGAAAATCGAAGCATTATTTCGACTACTAATCGTGTAAATCTATCGTTTTAAATAAAAAAAAAACACACATCATTGTAAAATCATTGTAAATACATTCATCGTTTCACTCAGAATCTAAAATATTTTATGTATGTTTCGAAATGTACCATGTTTTCAATGTTGAATAATATTCAGATATTATCTGCCCAAATCCGATAGTTAGTGTGGCTATTTTTACAAAACTTTTTTTTTTATATTCATACAAAGTATGACAAGTCATATTCACCTTAATTAAACAAATTTCTTCAGAACTTAGGGGCTAGAGCATAATCGATTTGTTTTTATTTAAATACATATTTGTATTCATTATACTTACTTTTTCTGTATTAGTTTATTTGTATTATTCAATAACTATTCATTAGGGTGGTTCTTATTTATAAGGTCAGAATATTTTTTTTAATTTTCTGAAGTCAGGACCCTATAATATTATTTGATATGATATAAAAATAATTTAGGTTAAATTTGGTGATGATGACCCACCCCCTTCCCGTGCCTCAAGAGGGTTGAAAATGGCAAAATAGGGTAGTTTTACGGTTTTCTGTATTTTACTCTAAAACAGTTATAGTTATGATAAAATTACAAAAGAGCTTTATTAAATAAAATACAATTTTCTATAAATAACTATATTACAACATTTTACGAAAATCTATTGTTTTCTCTGAAAATAAAAAAAAAACAAAATAATTTAATTAATAGGCAAAAATATCTGATTTACGGTTTTTTAAAAATATTTTATGAACGGTTGAAGATATGATCAAATGTTTATTATTATATTAAAAATAATCTGAAATTACCGTCATCGTTATCGAAAGTAGATAAAACTCGGATGGCGATAAAATAAAACTTAATAACAGTTATGAATTATACAGATAAACAAAATAATATTTATTAAATGACATTTTATATTTTAGTTGTTGTACTGCACTTGAACGTGTCTCGTTTTTATAATTTTATAGTGATTGTTTTAAGTTATAATTTATACGTTACTGTTTCAAAATTTATTTTACAAAATGCCTAGACAACAAATTTATTTAATTGGACCCATGAATAATCAAATAACTGGTTCTAAATTGCCTTCCAAGAGGGACTGTTTGTCTGTTTTATTTTATAATATTATGCGCTTAGTAAACCTAAATTTACATGATAGTTCACGTTTGGTTATTGATGAATGTTCAATTTTTTAGAAGAAAGATCGAATTCCAACTCATGATAATTCAGATTGCATTAAAAAACTGAAAAAATTATACGAAGAATGGAGAAAATTAGACAAAAATAAAACACGAACAACAGAATTACAGAAAACACATGAAAACAAATTCGAAGAACAATTAGACAATTTATTTGATTTACCCCACGCCAATGCCTTAAATTTAATTAAAATAGAAGAAGATAAGCAATTTTTATTAAGACAACGAGAGAAAGGTCGTCCTGGTTGTATGCTTGGTACGGATATGAAATTAGCGGGTATTGAAAAACGTAAAGCGACTCTTAAAGAAAATGAAGATGGACGAAAAAAACGACGAGAACTGGAAACCTTAAAATTAACCGGTAAGTTATTAAATATAGACAATTCAATTGTATACGTATTTTCTTAATTTTTATTAGTGTTATAATTTATTTTTAAATAATGATTTTTTAGAAAGAATTCGACTGTATAGTTCATCTAGTTCTGAAGATCAAGATACACTTTTAGAGGAAGTTTTAAGTGAAACTCCTGGTTGCTCATTACCAATGCCTAGTTCTTCAAAACCAATCCGGGCTAAAAAAAGTAGTGAATAATAGGTACTTATTCATGTTTATATGTTATTAACATTTATTTTACCCTTTGTTTTATAATGTACCTAGTTACAAATATTTTATAATTATTAGATAATACTCATTAGTTGATTACCAATCTAATTGTTTTTTAAACATATGTATACCTACTTATTTAGTTCTAATTGTTAAATGTATATTATACATTATACATTTAACATTGTACTTGCTTTGCTTTGGGAGGGGTGGCTATGCCGTTTACTATTCCAGGCTTGTGCCTCTACTAGTGGATGGATTTTGGGGTTGATTGGTAGGTTCAGTTATGTTAGTCAGTCCAATTTAATGGGTATGGTTTGAGTAAACGTTTGGGGGTTGGAGGGGAGTGGGTTTTACCTAAGAGGCGGATATGATCGTATTCGGAAAAAGAGTTATTGTAGAACATTGTTTTTGATTGAGAGCAAATGGAATTTTGGATAGATTTGAAGTTGGCTGATTTTAAAAGGGCCGAGTTTCTAACGATAGTGGGCATACCGGTTATCGTGCGTATGCCGATGTTTTGGACGGATTCAATACGTCTCCAATGGGAGGGGCCGATAAAGGGTGCCCAGGAAGAGCCAGCATATGTAAGTATAGGGGTCACGTAGAGTTTAAGTATGTTATGTTTTGTTTTCAGCGGAACGGGACTAGTACGGTTAAGTAAGGGGTAAAGCATACCACGGACGCGGGTAGCTTTTTTGGTTACGTCTTGAATGTGTTGGTTGAATGTAAGTTTACGTCCAATCGTGACGCCTAAGTATTTGGCCTGTTTTGACCAGTTAACGGGATGGTTATCGATGGTTAGAGGTGGAATGTGGGTTGTATTAGAACGCCCGAAGAGGACGCCTACTGTTTTGGTCGGGTTTATTTTGATTCGCCACCTGTGGAACCAGTTGGACGCGAGGTTGAGTTGGTGTTGTAGTTGTATGGTTGCACGTTTGGGGTTTTTATTACTAGTAAAGAACATCGTGTCGTCAGCGAAGAGTGAGAGGTTGGCTTTAGGAGTCGTTGGAATGTCGTTAATGTACGTCAAGTATAGCGTCGGTGAGAGACAGGAGCCCTGAGGGACTCCTGCGAGTACGTGTCTGGTAGTAGAGAAGGAGTGTTCGATTTTAGTGGTAAAAGTACGGTCGGTGAGAAAGGATTGGATGATTTTTACGATTTCTAACGAGATGTTGAGTTCGGAGAGTTTGTAGAGTAGGCCTTCGTGCCAGACGCGGTCGAAGGCTTTCTCCACGTCGAGGAAGACGGAAGCAGTGTTTAAGTCGTTGTTAAAGTTTTCGCTCAGTTGGTGGGTGAGTTTGGTCAGTTGTAGTGTGGTCGAGTGTTCGGGTCTGAAGGCGAACTGTTCGGGACGGATTTTGTTTTTGAGTTTGTCTTGTAGGTGGGTGAGGATGAGTCGTTCGTAAATTTTGGACAGGGAGGAGAGGAGGGCGATTGGTCTATGGTTTTCGGGTTGTTTATGGTCTTTGCCAGGTTTGGGAATGGAGATGATGACTGCTTTTTTCCAGGCAAGGGGAAAGTAGCAGATTCTGAAGGCGCTGTTGATGATCCGAGTAAGGGACAGTATAACGTTGTTCGGTAGGTTTGTAACGGGATAAACCGTCACTATATCAAAATGGTCCTTTTCAGGACCACCTAACACAACAGTATGGCAACGTAATGCGACACAAGTAATAGACGCGACATATTAGAATAAGTAGTTTGTCAACAGGAAAGTTTCACGGAAATAACAAGCGAAAACCACATTAACAAAGCGAACACCAACGGGTCGAGGTGTGGTTATTGCTTGTCAAAGCAACCATCCTCGACCAATCACAGGACAACAAAGGGAAACAAATAGTATATATACCGGGACAGTTCACCGGTCAAATCATCCCATCCATCCCCTCCCCAACATCCCACACCACCTGAAATGACCAGGAACAACAAGCGTAAGAAGGTCGGTGACCCCCCCGACCAAACCACCTTCAAAAATACCAAAACAACGTTCGGCTCCCCCTTCCCCAATACAATCTAACTCCAGTACTTCCGACTCTGAAACCCTAGACTCTTTCTCCGACTCTAGCACCTCAACCCACCACCCCCTATCATCACTTACTTCCGTACACTCAGTAAATACCTCACTCTCAACCACTCAAGTTCCGTCCAAAACTCCTTCAATCTCCAGACCTCCACCTATCATACTGAGTTCTGCTTCCTGGTGGAAGGCCGCGCCCACCATCTATTCACTCCAAAACTTGCAACCGAGCTCTCTATCAGCAAAATCCTCCGGCGACCGGGTAACCCTACGGGCAGCCGATACTACCCAATTCCGCCTGATCCAAAAGACTCTGTTACACCTGGGCACCGAATTCCACACTTTTTCTCTCCCCGAGGAACGCTCTGTAAAAGTCGTTCTAAAGGGCATTCCGACCGATATATCAACTGACGAACTAAAAGACGAATTAGTTACTCTAGGTTACTCCGTGAACTACGTCCGCCGCTTTGGCACCCCCGAAAAACCTATGCCGATATGTGTAGTGCACATCGCTGCAAATCCGTCTGCTAAGGACATATTTCTTCTCACAAACTTGTTTTACTTGCAAATCTCAGTTGAACCCCTCAAACCCTCCGGCCCGGCCCAGTGCTTTTCATGTCAACGCTTTGGCCATGGTTCACGTAACTGTGGTCATCCGCCGCGATGTGTAAAATGCGCCGGTAACCACAATGCAAACGCCTGTCCAAAAACTCTCGAGCAACCTCCGACATGCTGCAACTGTGGCGGCCAACACACGGCAAACTTTCGTGGCTGCCCCCAATTCATGGCTCAGAAACAGCAGGTATCTCCAACTCCAACCCAAGACTTCGTTCAAAATAAATCCTCACACCCAATCTCAACCCCCCCTCCTCCACCACCTCACCCTAAACAAAACACTACATTGACATACTCCGCAGCAACATCAAAATCAGCCCACTCTTCTTCAAATTCTCCAGTCCCACAACTAAACTTGTCGCTGATACTAAACCTGCTCACCAACCTACTGACTGCAATATCCAATAATCATGATCCGAAAACTCTCATAGAATCAACGATCAAAACATTTCTGTCCATACTCTCGCCCCAAAATGAATAACTTAAAAATCCTATTTTGGAACTCCAACGGTATCAAACACAAACTCAACGAACTACGCTCCCTCGCACTCCTACTGAAAACTGACATAATCTTACTAAATGAAACCCATCTACCACCTTCTTCCAGACTTCACATTCCAAATTTCTTCACATACAGGAATGACCTGCCGCCCGTCCGCGGCTCGCCTGCTCACGGCGGCACGGCTGTTCTAATTCACCGACGCATCATTCACCAACCTATAACTCTTAACACACTCATTCAAACCTCTTCTGCCCTCATCCAACTAAACGGCCACGAAGTCCTTGTATCAGCGGTATACAAACCACCAGGTGCAACACTCACGTCTCACGACTTGGACTTGTTGACCCAAAGTGCCGAATGGCAAATCTCTGCAGGTGACTTCAACGCCAAACATCCGCTGTGGTATAGCCACTCGACAAACGCTGCCGGCCGCGTACTTTTTGACCACGTTCAACAATCGGACTATACCATTACTGCTCCCTCATCCCCCACACACTTCCCGACAAACGCTAGATACAGACCTGACATACTTGACATCGCACTCGTTCGACTACCTTATCCTACTCAAATCGACAACCTCAACGAGCTATCTTCTGACCACAACCCTATCCTTCTGGAGACCTTGTGCACTCCGGTATCATCGTCCCCTCCAACGACTAACCGCTTCATTAACTGGACAAAATACAAGACAATTCTATCCAACTTACCAAACCCAACTGAACGACCGACATCAACAGTGAGTCAATCGATTGGCAATTGATACTCTCACCAAAAACATACAACACGCGATCGAAGCTAGCGTATTTACCCCTAAACACAAAAACTCTTCCTTTTTACTACCTGACTACATAAAACTTGAAATAACTGAAAAAAAACCAATTACGCCGTCAATGGCAAAGAAACCGTGACCCGACTACCAAACGTCAACTTAACGCCAAAATCTCATTAATCAGAACTTTACTCGAAACTCACAAAACTGACCAGTGGGACATTTTTCTTAATTCTCTTGACCATCAGGACGGTTCCATATACAAACTAAACAAATGTCTCCTCCACAAACGTCCTGCATCCCACCCTCTTACCGGCCCCAACGGCCTAGTTTTTCCGGCCATCGATCGAGCCGAGTTGATAGCCGACTCTCTCGAACTCCAATTCCAACCAAACCCTGGTCCCGACTTTCCAGAAGTTTCTGCCCACTCCAACTCGCTTTGAAACATAAATATCACAAAATCTAATTTATTCACCACTCCTGGCACAATCCAAAAAATCATAAACACCCTCCGCAAAAAGAAAGCCCCTGGTGACGATCTCATCACCAACACTGCTCTTAAATTTCTACCGAATAACATTCTACTTTCGTTAACACAAATTATAAATTGCTCCCTCAGAATTTGCTACTTTCCACGTGCTTGGAAAAAAGCAGTAATAATTTCCATCCCCAAGCCGGGTAAAGATCACACACTTCCCGAAAATTACCGACCTATCGTTCTACTCTCCTCCATATCAAAAATTTACGAACGAATCATCCTCTCTCACCTTCAAACCAATCTTCGAGACAAAATCCGCCCAGAACAATTTGCCTTCAGACCTGAACACTCTACCACTCTACAACTGACCAAACTTACTCACCAACTTAGTCAGAACTTTAACGACAACGTAAACACCGCCTCCATTTTCCTTGACGTGGAAAAAGCCTTTGACCGGGTTTGGCACGTCGGTCTCCTCTACAAACTGTCCCAACTCAACATCTCGGCTGAAATCGTTAAAATCATCGAATCCTTTCTCACTGACCGCACTTTTGTCACAAAAATCGAAGACTCGTTCTCGTCCACCAGACTCATACTCGCAGGC